CATAAAAACATCAAATGATAAATTTTTTAAAATAGAATTAAAAGTGTAAAAGATTCAAAGAGTAATTTAAAAAAATATATTTTATGCATCACCTGAAGATTCATGAAAGTATTTGAATTTTTCAACAAAACTTTAATTTTAATCATAAAAATTTTGACAAAATATTTCACGTAAGATTAATAAATTTTATGAAATGTATATAAAACTACAATAATTTAGGTGAATCAATTAACTTCATTTTGACTGGAAAATGTTTTCATGATAAAAAGTATGCAATTTAAACATTTAAATTTTTTTAATAATGAAAATATTTGTTTAACAAATTTATTTCTATGCTGAAAAATATTAATTTGATATTTCATTTATGTGTGCACTTCAATTGATTTTTAGAAAAAAATTTATGTCAACTGCGCACATTGTTGATATTTATGTTTTAATATTTTGAGTTATTTTTTTTGATAGAATTAATCTCCAAAACTAACTACATATTTGAAATTTTCAAATTTATTTACTATGTATCTTATTTCATTGAAATTTGAATGTTTAAATGTTGTGTATTTTCTTTATTTGAAAATTAAGCATTAAAATATTGATATAAGTTCAAAAAATATAATAAAATGTCAAGTGCAAAAATTTCAAGTTATACAAATAATAATTAATATTTGTTGTGTTATGTTTCAAAATGGTAAAAAAATTCTATAATTATTATAAATATCATTTAATGATCAAATAAATAAAATTGAATAAAAAATAAATCTACATTTTTTAAAAAATTTATATTTTTATAATTAATTCATTAATATATGGTATATTGAATTTTATCTATAGTAATTTATGTACTTTAAATAACAAAATTACATAGATATATGTATCAAAAAAATCAATTTTTTTATTCATCTAAGATTTATCATGAACGAATTTTAATACATGAATGTTGATAATGAATGTTTTTCTGTAAGTCATATAGATAAATACGTCGATAAATTTTATATAACTTGATTATATTCAAAAAATAAATAAAAACAGAAATTTTAAATAAATCGTCTGCATTTCTTACATCTTTCTTGCAATAGATTTGCACTTTTGCTAGGAAATTTTTTTTTTAAATACACTTAATTTCATAAAAAGTTTCATGAATCACAGTTTTAAATTCAAATATTAAGTATAACTCAATATCATATATAACCAAAATATTTAATGGCGGAATAAATCACACTCCTTTCAATGATACAGATTATTTTATAATCAATTTTATCGATGTTATATAAATATAATATAGAATTTATGAATATTTTATAATATTGAGTTTTATATGAATTTTATGAACTAATGTGAAACAAATAGATTGTATTTGAAAAAAATTTCGTTCTATCAATATCTTCATTACAGAAACAAAAGATTAAATTCACATAATAAGGAATAAAAATTATAAAAATAATATTTCTCATGTATAATGACTAAAAATTCTCTTTCTTTGACACTTTGACTTTGATTTTTTTTTCATAAAATAAACATATTTGTGAATAGAGGTTATACCTGTGTTATAATTTAAAGAAATATCCATATTTATAATAATTTCAAGGTGTTTTGATCTTTAGAATTTACTTTGCTTCGTATATACAACTATTCACATACTTTCATAGATATCTTGTAAATGAACCGTGAATTTGTTTACTTTTTTTTTATTTTTATGTTTATTCTTTTCTGTACATATCTGAACAGGCCCTGTCAGACAAAATAAAACCCAAAAACCGATTCAACTAAAATAGTTCTTTACCCCCCGGTACAAAATCAAGTGAACCAATTCCAACTTTTACGGATAGAGAAACTCGAACCTTCTCGAAAACAATGGCCAACAGAATCTTAACCTTGCTACAAATTTTCCGAATTTCCACTATCACTATACTGATATCACTGCTGGATACACTAAAAAAATTAACTTCCATAATGTGCGAGAATGAATTTCGCTTGGAACATGAGTGAATGGATATTTTAGAAACTAAGTTGGTGTTAAGACTTTTCTAGAAATTGAAGAATCTAATCACGGAACAAAAGAACGAACAGGATTTCTGAACAGAGAATTGTCTTATCAGGATTCTACTGATACTCAATGTTAGCCAGTCTTTGTGGCTGTTCGGTGACTGTTTGATGATATTCCAGGATTGATATGAATCATAGCTGCTGCATTATCACCCGGGAACTAAACCTGTAGGTTGCTCAGAGCTGGGCTTGAGTGCATGCGGTACAGGTGTGTTGATACAAATCTTGCCTGATTGGAGCTACATCCTATTTACAACTTTTTCATCTAAAATCGTTTCTTATCTAGATTCTAGTCGTTCACCAAGAACCCTATCCTGTGTCTTCTATGAATTACCCATTCACCTCAACCTTCTCACTTTGCTTTCTGTGGTAAACGTTAACTTGTGCTCAATGTTCAGTAACAATGCTGGATGTTTTGACAGAGATGCGCCTTTAAGCTCAGGTATTTAAGGTTAGCATTCAGCAGAGTAGGTTCTTTGAATTTTCAAGCCAAATGTGTAGTGTCACCTGAGAACTAGGTTGAAAGAGTTTGATTGGAATGGTTTGCCGGGGTGCTTTGGTGTTGGCCTTGAGTACCTTGTCACTTTTCTGTCATAGATAGTCGATAACTCTTTGTACTGGAAGGTTGTACTTCAAATGTGATCCAAATTCCAAGCCGATGACAGACTCTTTACCAAGAGTTATCAGTGATAACGAAATAGCTCTGGCTTACCAAGAGCTCCAGATATACACAAATCTGTCAGTGTCCAGCTTGTACAGCAACTATGGTATACTCCTTAACAAATTGTCTCACTATTTATCCCGGTGTCTGCTTTCATCTTAATCCGAAAAAGAAAGTTCATATTAAGACGCACGGAGTGTTGTTTAAAGTCCTATCAGACTTACGTTCTAAGCTGTATCTCAATGGCCAATATATTATGAGACAAATCTGAACTGTGTCCCAACGAATTAACTTTTAATTATCCATGTTTAGTTTCCATTACAAATCGGGACTTAAAAATAAGGTCGGACGATGGTAAAAGCTGGAATTTGAATTGAGGAGAATAAACCATTTACGCAATATGAGTGGTGGATCCCAGTTTGTAAACAGATGCTCAGATGTTGACAGACTGTTTTCGACTCAGTTGTATGCGGTTGAAACGAATCAGCTGGATTGTTGTTTGTGTGCAGTAATCCTGAGTTTGAGGAAACTGAAAGAAGTTACTTGCTACACTTCCATCTGTTTTCTGTCTGATAATTGTTGTGCATCTACCAACCGGAGTTCATGTTGATATGTTGAACGCTCTATGATATATCTTCCATAATGTGATCAATGTATATTAGCCAAGTATGATACAGAACGTACAGCTCTATCTTGTATCTAATAGCAAGCCCTCTGCTCGAAGGGTTTCGGATGGACATTTCACAAGACTATTGAAATTCCGGCAGTAAGAACTTCATACATCATTTCCTGTTTAACAGTTTATTCCAGATCACCAACACGTAGAAAGCATGCACACTGTTGTAATTCTCAATGTTTCACAACAATGCTCACATACAGCTTAACATGTCTTTCTCACCTGCAACTGTGCTTGTATGGAACACTAACGGCGCTAAGTAAGACAGGTGAGGACAGTGAGAAAGACAAATGCAGTCACAATGACATCTACACCTAGATTGACAGTACTGTTGGAAAATAAAGTAGTAGAAAACCTTGTGTCGTTCATTTCGGCCCACTCGACAACGGTGTCGCATATCATACCATTCATGTGCTGAAAATATGTCTCTGGCTAATTTCAAATCATGCATCTAAACTCTGGATCTCATAAGGGCCAGGGCAGGAAAAGTGTTGAACAGCAAAGTAAGAAGCACCTTCATATGGAGAGAAATCTTGGCAGTCAGCGGATTGTGAATGTGATTTAAGACTGCAGGCAAAAGTTAGAAGTTCAAAACGTTTCAACTTTAAAATTGGCATAGAGTAGGAGATGATATGACCAGCCAAGTTCACATCCAGGCAAACAGAACAAACGAGAGGACCAGAGCACAGCTATCTCTCGAAGGAGAAATATGAGACATTCGAATCTAGCATCGTTTGAAGCTGATTGGCTTTCTGAACATTTTCATGCACAAATGCTCTTGAATATCGACAACTGTCACTGTAAGCATGTTTGCAGATATTGAGTGGCGAAGTATGACCGAAGCTCGTACTGGTCCTGGTTCGACCATTTGTTTCGAACACATTGCTCAGTAACCCAATCTGGAATCTTCATAATGGGGATATAAGAGAGAGTTTTGTGATGCTGATTATTACCACTTGTGTTCAATGAGCTACTCTAATACCGCAGCACAAAAACAAACGATGCATGAAGCTATTCAAGTTCCATAATGACTACGGAATGATTTCCTTCAACTTTGCTTGAATTTATTTCCTAGTAGTCGTCAAGTACATGTAATAATACACAATTTTATTCGGATACTCTCGGATATTAAGGCTCGAGTGAGATAGCGAAAAGGATGGCTTCACCCGTCCTTTTTTGTAGCTCACCGATCAAGTCTTGAAGGGAAGCATGAAGCTAGCCAAATGGCACCACGAGAGGAAGTATATACTTCTAAATACAAGATATTAGAGAACCGGCAGTTAGTGCGATAGGTATTCTGTAATATCACAATCATTCATTTCTGCAAAACAACGCTATCTAAAGGAGTTGAATAGCATGTTACATACGTTGTTGCTCATAAAAATCTGATATGATAGTTCACCATGTATTCTCTCGCACCAAGTAATCATCCATAAAATTCCAAGGCTTTGGAAAACAAGCATGTGGCTTATTATTATGGTAATTGTCATCTTCCTATGCAACAAGTCCAGTGGCAATCTCAGTGGAGAGAGAAGTAGGAATCGAAGTTCAAATGTTGATTAACATCATCTGAAGTTAATTCAGAGATATCTTAGATGTAGTTGAACTTTTCCAAATAATTTGATACAATTTTAGCTAAAGAAAATCGCAATCTGTTTATAACATCGTGTAAAAAAGTGTGTAAATGACGATCCGCGAGAGGGGAAGAGAAGATTAAACAGTTCAGATCTCTTGTCTTTCTGAAAGAATCTCAGAAAGCATGCTTGGCTGAAGCTGATTCTCCACTTGTATCCATCAGGCGGAGATCATAGTCCTCGATAGTCTTTCTTCCTAGTCCAATAAAATGAACGAAGAAGAAAGCTTCACTTTCCTGCTTGGCATCCTTGGCATGGATCAATACTTGCAAAAGATTTGCTGAAGATCGTCTCATGAGATATGTTCAGAGATATGATCTGCGATCTAGACCTGCAGTGCAATGGAAGGGCAATGGAACGGGATGGAGTGAACGGAAACCAAATAGATAATGCAGGATTGGCACAGATATGAACCACCCAGCAACAACTGCGGAGCAGGAGGTACGACCACATGTACAAGCGAACTCAAGTCAACATGAAAACCCGCTGAGAACAGTAAATTAGCCGGCGATGGGGACGAAAGTACAGCCTCGAATAGGAGCAGCATTGAAACTCAAGCAGGAAAAGGTAAGGAAGGCCTAATCACAATCAAACAGTGGGGATGCGGGACTCGGGACTCGGGAGGGTAAAGAAAGATGAGCCGAAGCAGGAAGGGAGGAGAAAGAAGATCGGAGTCGGAGAGTCCAAGCATGACATGCCTGCACTTTTGCCATCAGTGGCAGCTGCCTATGCCGTCCAATCTCGGACGCAGTCAAAGATGGGAATCTTTGCGGTAGAAGGGGGGTGGCATGGATATGGATGGGATAAGGGAGAAGTGGGGCTTTTAAAGAAGATGCTACAGGTGGGGATTTTGCCTGTACCAGAGGGCAAGACATTCATTCCCTCCGCAATTGAACGTGGCAATCAGGTACACACCGCAGACGATCGATCAATTCCATGGGATGGATGGATTGATTGATTGATTGATCGGTCGATCGATCGTTGGAAGGTGATTATGATAGGCGCCAGGGAGGAATTTCATTCCGCCTGCCTGCCTGCCCTGCTGCAGCGTGCGCTCATGCTCATGGTGGTCCTAAGCGGACTGGGGGCTAGTACTCCTCCCTCCCTCGCCCCTCCTCCACCTCTTTCTCCTCGTCCTAGCCCTCTTCTTGTTTTCCATCTCTCCCTTCGTGAAGTCGTTGAGATTTCGAATCGCCAAAAGTAGAAAGAACGAATCTTACTTATGAGACGAAATGATGAAAAGTGACACCGACCTTAAGTGTTATTACGCATAATGCGCAGCGCAACCCTTCCACTTGCGCCCTAATGGATTGTGCAGATTCGTCAGATCGCCCAAAAGTGGAATGCGTGATTGTTTAAAGATTTTCTCTCGATCCGATATCACTAACAAACCTGCGCCGATCGAAGAGAGAGAGAATTAAGTGAATCTCTCTCTCTCTCTCATGTTCCACAATTTTAATACGCTGGAGAATTGCTTTATTAGGGCTTGACAATCCATGCTCGCTTTCATTCATTCATTCAGTCATTCGGGCCTTCATCCATCCATCCATCCATCCACTACTAGATCTTCTCGCGGAGCGGCAGCTGGGGATCTCTCGGTACAAATTCACCGCTAGTCTAATAAACTGCGGGGGCCCTGGGCCAGAGAGATATTTTGGCCTAGATTATTTTACAGCTCTCGTACGCTGGTGCGGCTGCGGCTGCTGCCGCTGCGACATTACTGCGCTGCGCTGTGATGCGACTGACGACGGGGTCGAACCTTAACAGCATCGCTACGTGGTTGGGCGGGCCGAGGGGAGTTACTCGGGTGCTCACAGTCGCGCGCCTGCCTGGCACAGAGGTGTGGACGCAAAGCTAACCTTTGACTGGTTGACTGACCGGCTGACTGAATCCCTGACTGCTAGCTAACAACTCGGTGAACGGTACTTTACACGAAGTGATGTAATTCGACTGCGCTCCGCGACTTTATGAACGTCCCTTGGGTTTGTCCTGGTTTGGGACAAGGACAGGCTCGAGTCCGTGAGTCAGCCAATTGAGGTTCGAAGGAGGCCAGGGCAGCGAGGGAGCCGGTAGCCGCGGCAGGACGACGAGGCGCAGCGGCAGCAGCAGCAGCAGCATGCCATGCATGTATGATAGCCTCCATCGAATGCCAGGCCATCATCACTCACTCGCCGCCATGAATCATGATACTGTGTACGGCCCAACATGGCATGGTGGACGGACGGACGGACGGACGGCTGGCTCGCCCGCTGGCTCGCTGGCTCGCTGCGTTTCGCGGAGTTATGTCGAGTGAGAGTCTTTTCTTCTCTGACATGTCCATCGCCATCCCTCATTCTCTTATTCTTAGGCTCTATCATAACTCTTCTTAATATTCTGCGTAATATATTTTAGTGACCAAACCCCCAGATTATTCGCCCGTCATTACGGTGACTCTCGCCCCTGTGTCCTTTTACCCTTCCTTCAAGAGCGGACCCACTTACTTCGTATTCCTCCTTGTCCTATATGGTTCTTGTGCGAGCGCGCGACACAGTGTGCACTTTAAATACGCGAGATTTGGTTTGATCCATTTTGTACTTTCTCGCATACTTAAACATGCTCGTCGCGTTTTTTTATTGTTTTTTGAAAATATTCCTCCCGGCGTCCAGTTTATACAGTATTCTTCTAACCCTTGCTCTTCACTCCCGTCTTCTTCTCTGGTCATACCAGAAAAGGTAAGCTCTTGACGACAAGAATTATAGCCACGTCGGAAGGACGCCCGTCTATCTCCAGTAAAGTCATCCCTGAGAGTACTGTACTCAACTCAAAATATACATAGATATTCTTTATTAAATTAAATCCTAACAGTTTTTAAGTTTTTGAAATTTATATGTAATGTCAAATTTGCGTTTCATTTTTAACTTTTCAGACATAATTTTCTTGATGCTAGATTCAAAAATACTACACTGAGATCTTGAATTCACAATAAGATATGTCATATTTCATTGATCTGTAACCATAACATTTAAAAACTTCTCTAAAATAACGCATAAGATACTTTTCCTATTTGCTTCATTTTTATCACACCCTGTAATCCACCATATTGATATATCATTGAGTATTTCGGATGCCAAGCAAGTAGGTTAATACACTCACTTAAAATCTATTAAAATTTCTAATTTTATAAATCGATCGAAGCTTGGAAGTACATAAGATTCAGATGAAAACTTATCATGCAACTTCACTCAATCTTCGGGAAAAAGAAAACTAATAACGAGCTCTGCGATATTATGCCGAAGAACATTTGATGATCACCATGTTTGCCACAATAGCATGATTCTCGGACATGAAGTCTAGATATGTTGTCATTCTTGTCTACCATAAGCCATATTACTGCTCTTGTATTATGTAGCTACTTTCTACCCTCCAACTGGACATGGAGTCCTGTGTACTCGTGTTATAGTCAAAGTAATATCACACTCAAGTGTGCAAATGTAGTTGTCTTTGAGCATGAAAAATCAAAGACTTTTCAGTTGGTCTTGATAGTCTTCAAATTTCAGTTTTTCTTGCCAACACGAAAAAAAATATTCTTCTATTTCCTACATAAGCTAGTAGATATCCTCCTTTCTACATCTTATAAAACAAAAGACTAATAAAAAGTAATTTGCAACTCAATTCTTCACAATCTAAAAGAAGGTTGTAACTAATCCTAGTTATCTTCCAGTGATATTTAGCAAATGATCATCCTGTAACTAGACACCAGATATCTTCACCTACTTTGCCCATTGATGGTCTTCGTTCTTTTCACACAAATGAGGCGACTGCCATCCCCAACGTTCACATCAAAAGTCACATACGCATATAAAATAATGTACCCTTAACCCTCTATTGCAGCCCTGACATTTATCTTATGGGTAACGAGAGATCCATTGATAGTAGTGAAAAAAGAAGCCCCTTATATTTTATAATGAATGTCTCATTCCCGCAACACGTCTGGTCCATATCAACAAGTCGGCATAAAAATATTTGTTCTCTCGAATTTTGAATAGAATAAAAAATGCTTATTATATTATGGACTTTCTTAATTGTAGCGAATATAATTATGGGAACGGAGGATGGAGTTAATGGTAATCAGTCACTGGTCAAAAGAATTAATTTGTCGTACGTTTGACAAACGGTTTCACTAAGCCATGTACTTAGAGGTCTTCCAAACTATACTATATGCTCCTTTAAAAGTATGATCAACTCTTGACTCCAGATTTTACTCCAAATGCATCAACATTGTTTGACGGAGAGATGCAGGCTGGCCCCCAAGAGAGTAAAGATCTAGACTTTCTCCACTACATTGCACTCGGTCCTTGTCAAAGGGTCCAGCTCATGTCTGAATCCCATAGGTTTGTCGAGGGATATCTCAGCATTAAGTAGCACTCCATGATCGTGATATTATTGTGATATTATCGTGATGTTGTGGCACCTCCCTAACATGATGAAATTATCTTCCTCCCCACTCAAGTACAAGCTTATATCATCAGCCGACAGTTGACGAGTAAGATATTCGCCACTATCTATAACAATACCTTCAACCTTGCCCTCCGTCTTGCCTTCTTACTAAGACGCACAAGAAGCTACGTGATGTATTACCTCCTACTAAGTTAGATTTTTTGTCATATGCCATACCATCGAAGCCTTGAGAAAAAGTGATCCTCACTGTCTCACAGATATTGAATGATCATGTATCAAATCACAAGCTTCTGCAAAGTTTAAATTGAAAAATATCTATGTGATTGGCTTTATAGAAATTCAGTGAATGTGGAAGACAAGTGAAAAAGTAAAATTACAAGAAAAAATTATAAAATATCAGCAAATGTGGACGACAACTGAAATGTGCAACAAGCATACAATAGACTAAGATCCCCTCCAGCCGATGCTAAAGTCTTCAGTGTTGGAGATCACTTTTTCATTTTTATTGTGTTTAATGATCTCCATCTCCAAAATAGAGAACATGTTTCTAATTTTTACATAAACCTAAATGACCAAATATTTTTCTCGTACATTCCAAGATTTTAAGAAGGATAATTTTAAAAATATCAAGTACGATAACATCAGTCCAAAAACGAAATTATTTTTTTTTTATTTGAAGCGAGAGTGGAGAAAGGTTGCATGGAACATGACGGAAGTAACATGCAAATGATCCTTAAAGGAAGCCAAAGGAAGTATCTTCAAACGATCCATGCACAACGACAAGAGTTCTGAACCGATGTTGGTCTTGGATAGGAATGCCTTAACCATGGTAACAAATTTGACTGGCAAAGGACTAACACTCACCTCATGAATGCATATTCTTTACAAACGCATGAATCAGCACAACACTTCAAATCCCTTCGTTGCAGAGCAGATGGCAATGACGGACGATCTCGAAGATTTTGTGGAAAGCGCTTTAATGCAATTGCCTATGCAAGTGCATATACAAATCTCAACTTTATGAAGAGGTGAGTTTTTTTTCTCTCCTTTGACACACTTATTTCATGACAATAAATTGGATATCCGCTTGGTGGCACCACTCAATTTCCTAAACAGCCTGCAACTCAGCCATGGAAATAGGCAGACCCAAAAGAACTCTTAGAAAGTTTAAGACAAGGCAGTAAGGCGATTTGATACTTGTTTCGAGAAAGTAGTAATTCAAGCACAAGAGGAATCAGACTTCTTTTCACTAGAGTTTTAATTAGACCTTTGAAATACATTGGTGGGCGGACTCCTTTTTCTTTGCTTATGAGTATGTGAAAATGGGGTCAATACATAAATAAATAAAGGATGGGAAGACCTCATCAAGATATATACAAAGGCAAGTGTACATAGCGGTACCTAAAAGGATAGGGTTCAGGAAAGGTAACATCGGGCCAAGCCCCAACATTATCACAATGAAACATACGCTATAAAAGTCAAATATACTTTTGTCAAGAAATCTCAGATATAACGACACTTCATCAGATTTATAGCACTAGTAATTTTTCTCTGCAAAGGAACTGAAACAAGTTGATGTCATAACGTAGATAATAATTCTTCAGTTGTACTCAAACATTATGGCGTCCATTGGCAAAGTATTACTTCCACCTTATTCTTTCCAGCCCACATTGTGTACGAAGGAAGGGTCTTATACTCGGACTTATACTTACATGAACTCGGGCAACGTAAACGAGAATACGGAAACGATGCTCGAGGAAAGGAAAGAGGCGTAGCATCGAAGAAACGCATGCTTCTCGGAGAGGAGGAGCGTCGAGGCAAGTGTCACATGCCCAACGTCCACGGACATGTTTCTCGAGCAATTTGTCGTGGCGGTAAGAAGAGAATGGGAGCGAGCGAGATGGAGATGGAGATGGTAAGGGAAGGGGAGGGGGGAGGCCCACCGACACCGAACCCCAGAGGACTGCTGCTGATGCCATGGGTCGGGATGTCCAATGTCGACGACGACTACAACGACGGCATCGCCTGCTCGAATGTGCTCCGCGAGGACATTCTTATCTCACTGCAGGACACGGCCCGAGGGGCCCCGAGAGCGCAGCGCAGGGCAGAGCAGGCCCGGCCTGACCGCGCGCGGTGGCGAACGAGGAGCGGGCAGAGGAGCTTTTTATCCCGGAGCGAAGAGAGCAATGGCGATGGCGGACCTGGAAGCGATGACCGAATGACAATGAATGAATGAATGGGGCAAAGGATGACACAAAACTGGCGTACTGTTGGGGAGGGCAGCAATTCCGAGGAAGAGGCGATGACATGACATGCGCAGCTCAGGGCAGAGTAGGCCAGCCGGGCCTGCCTCACTTCATAGCTAACGAGCAGCGAGTTCATGTGAACTTTATCCAGGAGGGGCAAGAAAATTTGGGACCGCGATGTAATGGCCCGAATGAATGACAATCAATGATGCGAAGCAGGACAAAAGGTTGATGTGTGTGAGAGCGGCGGCAATTTCGAGGCCGAATGGCGGACGGGCATGAATAGAGCAGAGCAGCGCAGCGCAGAGCAGATCAGCGCGTCTTTGAGCGAGCGAGCAAGCTTTTTGAGGATACTCCTGAAACCACATGATAATATACAGAAAATTGGTTCGAAACCCGAAGCCCAAAGCGAAATGCAAAGCGACTAGACTACTCGGCCTGCCATACGTGCCGAGCCGAACCCCAGGCAGGAGGAGGAGGATGATGAGGGAGGGCCCGGCCTGTCTCCTCTCCCATAAGTGAAAGATGACAAGCCGCAGCGGCCCCACAGACGTCGCGCGTAATTGCAAAAAATTCCTCGCCTCGCACTGCTCTCCATACATCCATCCATGGCTCCGCGCTTTGATGAGATGGTGCACAACAAAACAACTTGACCAGTACAGTAGTTAGGAAATCGCTCCCCCCTTCCTTCCTCTCCTGGCCCGGCCCTCCCCTCCCGTGCCCGTCCCATGCTTCCATTTCGACCCCCGTTTGCATCTCGCGGCCTCATTTCTTGAGAAGAGGCCAATTCTGATACAGTGCAATGAAGACGTCTGGTCGGTCGGTCGGTCGGTCGGTCGAGAGATGATCTGTCCACTTTCTCTCGGGAGATGGAGATGGTGAGGGCAAGCGAGCGAGAGAGAGAAAGAAAGAAAGAAAGACGCAGAACGGCGCCTCCTCCTCCGAGCCAGGTGAGGCCTGCCCTGCCCTGCCCCGCCCTGCCCTCTGCTGGCCTCCTCGATCAGATCAAGGCCGGACACTCTTCGTTTTCTTTCTAGCCTGGTCGCACGCGCTAGCGCTAGCTGTAGCTGCGATCCCCTCCCCTCCCCTCAGATCGCCACCACCACTTGCCTCTGAAGGGCCTTCTTCGAGCTTAGAGCTGAGACCTGGACTTACTTACTTACTCCTCTCGCGTCGTGTTTAGCCCGTGGACGACCAGAAGCTCTGATCTCCTCCAGCAGCAGCAGCAGCCCCGGCAGCGGCTGGCGTCGTCGCAGGACTCATTGCATGCTTCCCTTCGCTTCGCTCGCTTTCTTTCTGATCGGTCGCAGGGGCCAGGGCCAGAAAGCTTTTCGATTTGTTTTGTTTTAATCGCAGCCACCGACTCCACTAGCCGAGAGATTGTTTTTCCAGAGTGCGTGTGTGGGCCGAGGGCATCGGCCTGAGCTCGCGCGCGCGGTCGTGATTGGAGCATCGACGGGAGTGAGACAAAGTTAGTAACCCCCGCGCGCGCGCCTGGTTTGCCCATCGCCATCGCTCGCTGCTGCACCCTGCACCCTGGGGCCGATTTAATTAATTGAGTGCGATTTCCTCACTCGCAGAATTGGTTAAATTGGAAAGTGGGTTGGTGGCTCTGAACCCACACGAGTGGATATAATTCCTCGTCCCCTCTCGGGCTATAGCGCAAGCTAGCTAGCTCGAAGCGAGCCCCCCTCCTCCCCTGGGCCCGAAACGCCTACAGTATCTATCCGTGTTCTTCATAAACCCAGCCCCTCTCACGTGTAGCCGGTCTCAGTTCACGCAGATCCCTTGAATATAGAATTGCGCAAGTGGAAGCCGTCGAGCTCGCCGATGTCGCCGTGCTCCAACAACCCGACCCGACGGCGAGAGCGAGCAGCAGCAGCACCGTGCTGTGCTGGGGGTGGGAGTGTAGGAGGGTGGCTCCCTCGAGGGGCCTACGAGGCCGAAGCATGTAGGTAGTAGGGGGTAAGGTTTGGGGATGAGGATCAATCGCGCGAGTTAAGAAAGGGCATTAAGGTTGAAGATTGATTGGCCGGGCAATTAAAGAAAGGCCAACGAAGGGAATGAGAACGGGGAGTTTTTATTGAGCGCTGTTGGCTCAATCGTCGGTTATTGCCAGGGCGTCCAATTTGCCCTGAACATGTGGAGAGTCCGAGACGCGACGCGCTCTCTCGCTCGCTTGCTCCGCCAATTTTGTATTTTTAATTCTGCATCTCTCTAGAACTCTTGCACTTTCTCTCTCATGGGTTCGATGAATGAATGCCGTGCCTACAACTTTCGTGCCCTGCCCTGAGGAGGAGGGAGGGGGGGGGGGGGGGGGGGGGGGGGGCGGCCTGACCTGCGCTGCCCTGCCCTGCCTAGCCCAGCCATCATCATCAAGTTCGAAGCATGAGTCTTGATGCCGCTCACCCTCGAAGCTTTTGCATCATTTACAATGACTTTGTTGGAGCGACGGGGAATTTCATGACATTCTCTCTCATGAATTCGATGACCCTCTTTCTAGCCATCAATTTTAGATCAGGAGCAGTGAAGGGGGCTTTGATTTGCCCTCATAACGAGATGAGCTTGCCTCCTCCTATTTTCTTGAAGATACGACCCTCTCGCTATGTCTCCGCCTCAAGGATTCGATGCTCTTCTTTCTTGGCATTTGACCCGGCCTTGTCGTCTGTGCTGCTCCACGTCCGGATGACGTTTCTCATTTGCTGCTCGGCCCATTTCCTCTGCCGGGGCAAGTCAAACCAGGTCAAAATCGCTTGCCCCCGTTGTCACATCGCCGGTGCGCGAGCCCTTCGATCATTTCCTCTCTTTTCGGCCGTCCGCGCATCTTTACCACCAGCACTCGCTCGCGAATATTTCTGCGCTTCGAGAACCATATTTTATGGCCATTAAAGTGGCCCTCCATCGGAGCATTTTTGTCAATACCTCGGAAGGTCACGATCGATCTTTGTCCACTCCGAAATGGGAAGAAAGACATCGCCTGAGGCCTCTTGGGGATTCTTGCAGCACCAGTCAGAGGCTATCTATCTATAATAAGGCCGACGACGGACGACCTGTGCCACCTCCACATTCAAGGGGCGGGGCAAGAATCCGCGACATGGTGGTGCTAGGTTCCGACTCCCCGAGTCACCCACTTCTCGGACTTGGACTCGGACTTGATCGCCATCGACCGAGCGAGAGAAGACGACGACGACGACTGCGTTGAGATGAGAATGCATCTCAAATGCCACACAAACAATTTTGTTTGCAACCCCAGGCCCATGTCGACCCCGGCACCCGGGTTCGACTTGGACAAAGCTCGTGACATCGGAGCGGGTCATTTGATTCCGGCCCATATGCCTCTGCCTACTCGAAACCACATCGTCGTAGAGATGTGCCCCCATTGCATCAAATCCATTGGCCGCTCGAGCCCTGATGCATACATATGACCATCGTTGCGTTGCGGAGGCAGCCCCGCCCCGCCCCCGCCCCATGAGCCCCATGAGCCCATTCAAATGCAATGTCACGAGACTCGGGGAAAAATTATAGAGTTTGTTTCCAGATAAGATGCTGTCCTTTCTCCAGAAGCAACCCCGTCTTGTCATTATGGGTGCAGCGAAATTTTCCAAGCGCTGCGCCTGTCGCGTTGCATCAGACCACACGTACTCGACTTTTTAACTGCGGCCGTCGAGCCCGAGCCCGAGCCCGACGAGCTTTCAGAATCGAGCGAGCGAGCGGGAGGGAATGAACAGAAAGGATGGGGAATATTCCGGCGGCACACCTCGAGCTGCTTGGGCATCGTCGTCGTCGTCGTCGGAGGCCGGACGGGGAGGGCATGAATAAAGAATAGGGGTGGTCGAGGGGACGAATAAGAGGAGGAGATATTAAGGCGCAGGGCTGTCATTGGGCTTGCAAGAAAATGGCGAATAGTGTGCTGGAGATGAGGAGAAAATAGAAAGGGGATGTTTTTGCTGATGCAATGATGACAGGCGAGATTCAGGACGAGGAAGTAAATCGGAGCAGGGGGCCGGGGAGGAAAGAAAGTCAAAATTTGGGTCCACATTTTATATGATTTTGTGTGGAGGGAAAAGCGATCCATGAGCGTATCCATATTCACGTGCATGTGAGGATCGCCCTCCCTCTTGCCTCGTCTTAGACTGCACCTTCTCCACATACTCCAACCGTCGACATGTACTGCTGCGACGAAGAAATTTGGGCTCAGCTGCACCTGCAGGTGGTGCTGGCTGCGACTCGCTCCCTCCTCCTCCTCTACTTTTGAAGCGGCCCCGACTTGTTTCTCCCCTTTCAGCTTTTGATTGCCAAAAGCTGTGGCTTTCCCTTGGGAAGAGTAATGCCTCCTCTACAGTTCGCTGAACTGCTGGCGAATTGATTGAATTTTGGTTCGTGATGATTGATTCCGGCCTCTCTCTCTCTTCTAGCTAGCCCCCTCCACATCTTCCACGAGAAGAAGAAGCAGAGAATGCCGAGGGAGGGAGAGAGAGAGAGAGAGAGAGGTTTAGGTTTTAAGCTCTCTCGGTCGTCCGAGAGGTGGCTTGGACGAATTCTCTGGCTCTGATTCTTCGAGCCTCGATTGCCACGGACGGGGACGGGGCAAAGATGTTCGCTGGCTTGCACGAAGAGCTGCGAGTCGTAATGGCGCCACCATAGACGGGGCGATGGGATGGGATGGGATGGGACGGGACGGGACCAGACGGCCAAGACGTTAGAGAGGTGGCCAGGGAGGGGAGCATTGGGGGAGGGGGGCCTGGGCTAGTCGGGGACAATCAGTTCGCCTAATTTACTGCGGCCGGGGCTATTGAAGCCACCCGAGCCAGAGGCGAGGCGCTTCAAAAGCAAGTAAAAGCGTGGCTGTGTTGGGTACTGTGACCCTTTCTCACGTACTTGTTTAAGAGCACTCTGCTCGAGAGTCGAGATCGCAGCATTCTTCGACAGTGGTCGTCCTATGGCTACTCCGCTGCTCTGGTCCGCATCAGGCTCTCTGCTTCGACCTGTTCCTTCCGGCCTTGTCTGAGCCTGAGCCCTGAGCCCTGAGCCTGCCCCTGGGCCTGGGCCTGACTCAGCTGCTGGCTGGCTGCTTCGCATTTCATTTGCATGGGGTTGGCCGCTGGCTGCCGACTGCGCCAGGCTCGGCCCGTAGACTACTGGATCTAGAAAAGTGAATGCGAGGATAAGAGGGAAGGAAGCATGCAAGGGCAGAGGCACCGTGGAGGCGACGACGTCGACGTCGTCGGGCAAGAGGCCCGGTGAGCCCTCCGCGTGCTCGGCTGCTAGATCCCCGAGGCTGGCTCGCTTGAGCCAGTGCCACTCGAACCCCGATATCTTGATATTGTTTTCTGCCCGAGGCGGAGGGGAGGGGGGGGGCTCGGCTTACTCGGAGCCTCTGTGCGAGTGGCATAAAGGAACTGTGTTCTAGAATGGCGGCACATTGAGCGCTTAAGGCAGAGGGTTAGTTACGCTCTCGGGCCTGAGAATGGGCAGCTTCTTTGTCCCGTCGTCCTCGACGGGAAGATGTGATCGGAGTCGGATCTGATTACTGCACACGATTTTAATGCTGGTGCTGATACGGTCGGTCACTTTGTGAGGTCTGACCCGCAAATGTTACTGCTGCCCGTTCTCTTCGCTGACTGTCTCCTAGGAAATGGGTGCTCTACTCCTAAGCTATAACGCATTAGAGGTCAAATAGGTAGATGCCTACTGGTCTTCCATGAGTCTACAGCAGATGCGGAGCTTCGCATCCATGGGACCCGAGCGAAATAACTGGACGGTTAAGATGAGGACCGAGACGGCTGTCGTTGCAGATCGGCATTTACCGTGACACACTGAACGAGTGGGATTGTTAATAATATTCAGGGTTCCATGATACACGATAATGCGACTCTTGTGCATCTGGGGTGGGGGCAGTGGTGCTTGCGATTTCACCTTTATGTTATATTCAGGGTGCATCCATCATTGTGTTGTGTGAGGCGTGACCAGGGGTGTATCTTCCAACGATGAAGTAGCTAAGTTGAACGCTCCTACGTTGAGTTGAGTTAGAAGCGAGGAGTAGTCGTGTAGGTAGTATCGAAGGGAAAATAAGCATTCGCCAATTGATAAACACACGATGGACCTTAATGCGATTTGAATTGTCAATGATTATCCAATTGCCCGCTACAATATCCCACACACACTATACACAAAAGCAGTGAAACATGTCCGCTGTCACAGCTGCCGAAGGCAGTCAGCGGCAGAAGGGATGTTCACCACTGATGATCGAGAAGGGATTCACAAGCGGTCCAATAGACCAAATAATCTTCTTCTTACCCATGACTGGAGGCCTGCCACTGTTTTTCCTAGGACACATGAAGCGGTGGTGCAGATTAATAACCTACCACCGCCGATGTGTCCCAACTGTTCACTAGCCTAACAAAAGGCAAATCTTACTCTACTTTGCAGCTAAGAAAATGTTCTAGTAAAGGAACCGGAGAGCTTGGTGGACCGAGTTGTAGTTGGCTTGAATTACCAACCATGGGGATAGGTCAGCAGGTCAGTAGTCGAAAGCCGTTGCAAATGTGGTTTTACCTTCAACAAATGGCACAAGGATCGTTCATCTGATCGGCAATCGAGGTCAGTGGCCTACAATCTGTGGGGAGATCTCCGAGCTGGCACACACCCGGCATGTTGTTCCAAGGGCATGAGCCCAGTTCCCATACGTGGTTCGCCACAGGATGTCCTGCCGCTCCCAAGTGCTCTAATTCTGCAACGACGTCCTGGTGGTGAAACGCGGCCTCGATGGCCTCCGGAAGCGAGTGGCATGGTTGCCCCCCGAGGGTGTACACGTCGGGAGGATTGTACCACTCGACCACCGGGGTTGCATCAGGCCTTGCAAAGTCCAGCAGCGAAGAGATCAGATTCTCCTCGTCTCCATAATTGCCACAGGGCATGTCGTGTTGTGCACTGTTCTCAATTTTGAGGCCTGCTCCACAAGACAACGAATGCGTCTTTAGCACAAAGCTAGAGCCCTGCAACTCTAACATGCAACCTAAGTGAAAGACAACCGCTTCACGTCCGCTCTGGGTGGATTTACTCCTGACCTGTACTCGCTCGGAACTATGATAATTCAACACGAAGACCACTAAAGCAAACATGTTCTACGTGCAATCAAACGACGACAGCGGGTTCGGGCCCAGCAGACCTACCGCCAACATGAGCGGCCTGCAAATTGGACGAAACGGTCGTAAGAGGGGACTGCAGGGTCGAGGTCTCGTCCCAATTGCTGGTGCAGTTCGGTGAAGTATCTTCGCTGAACATGGAATAAGTCCGTCCTTCCAGTGGAGTTGTGGGATCACTATCTTCACCCCACCTGCTCTTTCTTGGGCTCATGAGAGCAGAGACGTCCATTGGGGGATTGGCAGACGTGAGAACCAGAAGCTGATCAGAAAGCTCGGCCGATCTTATCTGATCTCGACCGGGGTCCAGATTCTGCGCTTCCTGCAGCAAGGCTTGCAGGAAGCTGCTGTTGTTGCTGTTGTTGCTACCAAAGCTATCTGCTTCCGACGATAGCAGATGATGGTTTTGTGGTAGAGAAAATGCCGTGTAAGGGCTAGTCATAGCAGACCCAGGAGTGCCCGCGCTGTCAGCAGACTCTGCAGATTGGCTTGAAGGGAGCTCCAATTTCAGGCTGGAATTCGGCCTGGAACAAGAGAATGGTGGTAGATTGAGGTAGCCATGGTTTGGCATACCCTCGAAATGCAGACCTTCGGGGTCTGGATCGTAGGGGAACCCTGCTATCTGAGCCAGCCTCATGGAGTTGCGAGTTCCACAAGACCGCCGTGCTTTGAAGTATGGCATGGTTTTGCTGCTCTCGTCAGATAACTGCGGGAACAATCCCCCGCCGCCGCTGGCGCCGCTCATCGACGAGCACTGAGTGTCTCGGTGCATGCGTTTCATCCGCCGTCCCGGGCTGCTGATGGACTGGCCCGCACTCAAGGTCTGAGTAACCACCGAACTCAAGGGCAGGTCGCTCATCCCGGTCAACGACGAGCAGCTTTTCATGCGGCAGCCTCCGTGCATGCCCGAGACGCTCAGATTCTGAAAATCGCCGGTCGATGGGCTTGAGCCCGGATCGCATTCGGACTCCCCGCCCGAACTCATGCTCATCTCGCCATGCTCGAACAGATACTGCGAGTTGGCGGCCGGATTCTGCATTTCCGGAGGGTACACGGGCAGCCCTGCTCGCATCCTCCGCTTGATCCGAGTGTTCCAGTAGTTCTTAATTTCGTTGTCCGTGCGACCTGGCAACTGCTCGACATAACCCACAGACGAGGCAAACGAGTCAGTACACGGTGCAATTCTTTCTTGATAAAATGATACAGTGCACGCGACGCGAGTGCGAGCGAGGACGCGTAACAACCTTATTCAAGGAAACCGAGTTCGGAGCTTGTATTTGACATGGGCCTCACATGAATGCCAAGAATCGCTCATGAAAGAAGAAGCCTACCTGGGCAGCCATACGAGCCCATTTGTTGCCAAGCTTGGCGTGCAGTTCGATAATCATCCGCTCCTCCTCCGGTGTGAAGGCTCCCTTCTTGAGATTGGGACGGAGGTGATTGGCCCAGCGCAGGCGGCAGCTTTTGCCGCAGCGGTACAGGCCCGAATGCTTCTGCACCGAGTTCCAGTTTCCTTCGCCGTGCTTGGTGACATAAGCTACGAGAATCGCGTCTTCGGCCGATGTCCACGGTCCCTTCTTTAGTGCTCCAACATCCTCAGAGAAATCCGGAGCGCTGCCTAGTTCCATGGTCTCCATCCAGGCACCCCAGACTCTTGAACCTGTTGAGTGCTGCTCCGGCGAGCAGCCGAATTGAAGATCAATAGTGAAAACTTCTACAAGCTACTTCTTGGGCTGGTACCCAACTCCTTTGCCCCGATGCGTCAGGATGTTAATAATTAACCCTCACACGACAGGGACTCAAACTCCGCACCTTCGCTGCAGCAGGTCACTGTGATCTGCTCCGACTCGTCATGAAAGTGGTGGAATGAATTGATCAGTTGCGTGGCGGAACAACTCCACCGGCAACGACGCGACACCCTGGGGTCCCGCAGCAAAATACTCGAGCTCGCCTCCTGTCTCGACTAAGACTCGGCCTCAGACCTTGACAGTTGAAGAATTTGAAAGCCAGTTGAGGCGGACGAAAAAACCCTTTCTCTTCATGCCAAGGTTCCGGACGCCTGGTACCTGAGCTACGCTTCTACTTAAGCGTCTCCGCGAGCACTAATTTCGTTAGAAATGGAGTCCATGACCGGAGGCTATCGTATCGGCAATTCTTTGGCACAGAAACGTCCCACCGTGCGCAACATTTATCCCTCGCTGATCGCCAATCTACAACACCGCAGGTGATTCTATGCTCCGCCTGGCTAGATATCCGAGTGGCATCCGGGGAAAGCGTGGTTCTTTGCTAGAAGGTTCTACGGTCTCAGACAAGGGCATCAGGCGTCTGACAGCATCGCCAATGGTGTCCGCTTCGGTCGTTGCCCCGACGGGTGGTTCTTTCTAGTTTGGACAATCTGCTTGCCGGTGCTCTCGGAACCTTGCCTTAGCGTGCCTCTCTGGAGAAACACAGCAATCTGATCCCAAACCGACACCTTCGGAAGCACAAATTCTTTGGGTTCCGCGACCTCTCTCACTGGACAACCACCATCTACTCGAATTTACCTTCCTGCTAGTGCGCGAGTCTGTACGTCTCTCTCTCGACGACCTCTCCCGTGCGCGCTACTCGCGGGCGGGCGGGGCGAGCGAGAGTGCGTGCGTCCCTGCGTGCGTGCGCTGGCTCGCTCGCTCGGATGCGAGGCTGAGGGTGTGTTCTTTCACGAGGGTACACGACGGGCAAAGTCAGGTCAGGTCCGCGCGCTGCTTCCCGATCCTTCCGACTGCCCTTCGACAAAATCTCAGACTTCCGCAGGCCAGGTCTGAACGCCGACAGCACGCGGTGGTGGATATCTGGCTCAATTGCTCGCAAACCACCCTGCCATGAGCGAGGAGGCCCCGGCAGTGGCAGTGGCACTGGCGGCAGCAGTCGCAGCCCAACAAGCACCCGCTCGCTCGCTCTCTCTATCTCTCTCTCGACCGACCGACCGACCGCAATCTTTCTCTCTATCTATCTATCCGCCTATATCAAGCTCCACTCTTTTCGTCGCCTCTTTCGGATGCTTCGCTCTCGCACCCAATGCATCAATCACTCGATCAATCAATCGTGCTCGTCGCCCCCCACCTCCTCCCCTCCCAATCACCTTCTCTCTCTCTGAGCTCTCTCCTCTCTCCTCGCTCTTCGGCCTCTCTCTCTCTCTCTCTCTCTCTCTCAGTCGCTCGTTCGCTCGCTCGCTCGCTCGGGAACTACGACGACGGGAAGCGGTGAGAAGAAGAAGGAAGGAGGAAGGAAGGAAGGAAGAGGAAGAGGAAGGAAGGAGGCGGAGGGAGGCAGCAGGAGAAGCCGATGTCCGCGACTTGTGTCTCAGAGTTCGCGAGGAAGAGACTTCAGCAGGAGGCGAGTTCTCTCTTGGTCTCTCTTCTTCTTCGGTCGGATGCACCGGGCAGCCGGGCAGCCCCGCGCGCAGACAATCATGGCCGGGCAGCTGTTAGAAATACCGTACGCGAGGGAGCGAGAGAGAGCGAGAGCGAGCGAGAGAGAAAGAGAAAGAGAGAGAGAGACCAGCCCCCGAGTCTACATTGCCCATGCCCATCGACGATGGATGATCATCATCACCATCATCATCATGGAAGATGATATGGTATGTGATGGGATGTATGCCATGGCAGGCAAACCGGCATGGCAGGCAAGGAGTGCAGAGGCGAGAGGGGGGGGGGGGCGCCGAGAGGGTAAAAGGAAGGAGTGGTTCGGGTAGACCAAGACCGGCTAGACCAGCGGAGTAAAAACTTTAATATGCTCGGATTTTACTCGGGCGAATTCGCCCCCTTTGGCGCCCAATTCCACAATTGTAATAAACCAATTGGAATCATTTTACTCTCCATTTATGACCTGAGATGCAAACTCGACACGTGGATTCTTTCCGACAAGTACACGTGTTGTGTAAGGAGGACATATCATAGCAACTTGAGGCCATGGCTCCGATGGATGGCCCCCCCCCCCCCCCCCCCCGATGCTGCTTATGCCCAATAATTAATCTCCTCTGCTTATCGAAGTAATTGAGTGTCGCCCCGCCCCACCCCACCCCACCCCCTCCTCCCTTCAAAACTCAAAACTACACATAGCCCCCCACCCCCCGCACCCCCTCCCCTTTAAACAATTACTACGTACAATAAGGACTACGGAGTAAGCACCCTTCCCCACATGTATCCAGTCTCCCAGTAATTGACTTGTACAGTACCCGCAGTACTGTAGTCGCTCCTGCAGATCCTTCCCGAGATCCTCCTCATTTTGCAGCCCACTCACTCCATGACAAGGAAAGCCAAGGAAAGTAAAGAAAATTAGAGAAAAGAAAAATAAAATAGGAAAGCCTTACTCGAGAGAGCGATGAAGCGAGAGAGGGATGCGGATTGTGGGATTATGGAATTATGGAATAAATTATGGGATGATTAATTTATGGGACTTGTTTGTTTGTCACAGCAGCAGGCGCGTCTCGGAGAGGGTATCAGGTGGTGTGCTGGTTGATGCTCGCACGCTATGGCGGCCGGGTGGCAGCTCGGCCTTGCTTGAGTCGCAGCAGCGAGCTAGCGAGAGAGAGAGAGAGAGAGAGGGAGAGAGAGGGAGGGCGGGGGAGGAGGAGGAGGAGGTCAAGGGCACGATGTGGGAGTCTTCTGTTGGTTGCGCGCGCACCAGATTAAGTCCTCTGTTGTCGCTCTACCTGGTGTGGAGAGTGTGGGGAGGGGCGGAAATAAAGCGAGATGGTGGTGGTTGCAACTTCGACAAACCATCGCACCATCCGTTCCATGTTTCTGCTCGGTTGGTCCCGGTCCTGGTCCTGGTCCTGGGACTCTGCCCTGCCATTGCCGCTTTAAGAAGTGCCATGCGATGAGGTCATGTTTCTCTCTCTCTTTCCCTTCTCCCTTCTGCTTCGCTTCTCCTGATGATGATTAGCGATCGCATGTTCTTACGAATCTTTGTCTGCAGCTTATCTTCGCTTCTATGCCCAGCCCTAATTATGTCCATGCAGGATTAGATAACAGTGCTCAATCTGGTACTGTTGTGGGAGTTATAGAATAATCGTTTTTGGGTCTCGGTATTTGCAGCCCTAATCAAGCATGTGATAGTGTACACGTAAATCGCATGGAAAGGGAATAACACTAAAAAATATATCCCACTTTGATCCCTTCCTGCTACTTATTATTATGATTGATCCCTAAAACGATTCCTCTGATGATGCTTCGATCGATTCTATTCTATTCCCAGCAATGTCAAACTGTCATACCATGTTGCATATCTCACTCATTGCGTTGCAGTGAGTTCTTCTAGTTTCATGCTCCTCTTGTTATTCGCCTTCTCCATCACCGCTAGCATTTGTCATCGACCAGAAATCACCAGATGCGCTTTATACACCACCTTCGTATCTCATAAAGTATCTGTCACTTGTTGTCCCTTGCCTTCATGCAATTGATGCATATTTTTCTCAATCTCGAGTATACATTCATGAGCCATGAATCTTTTAACATGCGAGGGAAATGCACTCAAGAAGAATCTAGCAGGAAAACAAGTGACCAAAAGCATAGCAACATTATCAGAAATAATGGAAAAATTGCGCCAAATCTTCCATAAGTTTGGTTCAAGTTGTTGGGAGATTTATAAAACATGTCCTCTGTCTCAGACAAAACTAGAAAACACTCAAAGCTAGAGATCAACATTGAACTGAGTTTCAATACAATTTTCTTTCGTCAAAATGGCCAACTAACTACCGGTAGGATAATACGTGATTAGCCTCAAACTGATTTAAGTCTCTGAGGCTCGAATCGGGATTACTTTACCCACTTTTTCCTTGCAATTTGTAAACATATGCATCGAACTTTCCTTGGATGTGATTATTTATCTTCTCACAGCTTACTGCTAATGCATGAATCCTTGCTTTTGCCTCGACGTTGGAAAGAAGGATGCTATCTGTCAGTTTTAGAATAATGTATTGATTGGAGAGTATACTGTATTGTTAATTTTCCCCTTTACGTGAAACTTGAAGTTATTAGAGTCTCAAAAAGTAACATGCATTCCAATATCGTGAAAATTTATAAACTCGGAGTCTACATGCATCCATGCACACATTTATATATAAATAAATCTGAAGATGTCTAAAAAATTCTAATCACATTTATTATCTGAAGGGACGATTCCCTCCATTAACGACCCTGCTCAGTCAGCTTTGGTGTGCTGATGTCTTCTACCCGTGAGCATTATTTTGATATCCGAATCTTCATTGGGTGAAATTAATCAATTGTAGATAAATGTTGAAAATATATGTTGCAGGTAAAATATGGAGTCAGAAATTTAATCTCAATTTTATATAATTTATCCTATGAACAATTTCTCTTAAAATATCCAGACTTCAACTTAAAAAGTTTATAATTGAACAAATTTTATGAAAAGGATATTACGTAAAATTATATTCTATATTTACATGCAACCGCCATGGTTATTTTAAAAAAATTATAAATAATTCAAAAAATGTACAGGAAAAATAAGTAAGATCCAAAATATATAATATTTCAAAGAACATGTATTAGGTTAAATATTAAATCTTTTCATCATGGTTAAATTGTTGTAAATTACGTCAATATTAAGAATTAATGAAATGACCAAAAATGATTCAATTGTAAATGTTGTAAAAAAAATTTCTTATGTTAAAAAATCTGATCAAAATATTATTTTTTTCGGCGCAAAAGTTCAGTAAATCGATCATGTTTGTAACAGTGTAGAGGTAAAAATTTTGTAAAGATTTAGATCACAAGGATCATAATCTACAAGATTTGAACATAATAGCAATAGAAGATCAATCTCAAAGTTAAATTATTATTTTATTAGATCGATAAAAGTCATAGAAATAAAGAATTTCAATATATTTAAAAGATATTATTCCTTTTTGTAGTTGATATATTTCAAAAACATTCCATGCAATAAATTTTTATGTTTATACCCCCTAGATCTAATCATTTTAGTTCATAATGAGGAATGTTATCCAATCGCCTTTTAGATATATTTATTTCACACAGATATATATATTACGGTGACAAAATAAGTTCAATATCATTAAATAATTTTGAATCATAAAAAGTCAATAAAAAATTAATGAATATATTTCCATCACAAATTTTTTATAATTTTTTATTAGTTTTATTTTGTAGATTTGCAAAATATAAACATTGAATGAAATATTATGAGCCCACTATTATTCTATAAATGGGAAGATTGCAAGAAATTGATCAACTACCTATCAGAATTATCTTAAAATTTCAGAACTACATAATTTAAACAGCAAATATTGCTATGAAATATTTCATCCATATACGAAATATAAATACAGAAATTTACATATTTATCCTCAAAGCTTCAACATCATGGAAATCATTTCCAATTTCATGCAAAAATCAACAACGAAAGTATACGATAGGAAGAGTTGAAATTTGGACAATCAAGATTACGTTATCGGGATGAATCCAAGTACTGAACTCTTGAGATGTGCAATTTCCTGGTGAGGTGCACGAACAGAGGTACTACTGTCCATAAACCAAGGCACTCCAAGGGAGGTAAGCTAGTCGTAAGGAGAGTCCAGCGAGGAAGCAAACTGAGATGATGTCCATCATCATCATAATTTTTTGTTTAAATTTTTTTAAACACTATTTTGTAGATTATGCAAAATATTAACATGAAATGAAATATCATGAACACACTATTATTCTAAAAATAGTTTTTTCATGAATTTTTTTAAATATTATTTTGTAGATTATGCAAAATATAAACGTGTCCATCACGACGGGGATTAACTAGATTAGGTTCGATTAGCAGAGAAACTTGGGCTCACGCAGGACGAGAGAGAGAGAGAGAAGCAAGTGTGGCTAAGGGCGGGGGTGGGGTCCAAGCCAAACGAGGGGCCATTGACTGACTACAGTGCGATTCCAGGGCCAGTGACTGAGAGCGTGGTCCAAAGCTAGATTTTGTGCAGGGCAAAAGTCCATAAGCCCTCTCGTACATTTTCCAACACAACAACTTCGTCGTCGGCCCGAATGACATACGCGCTCATAATTTATCTGTATTGTACTCGCGGCCTCAAGCAACGTGCGATCTCGATGACCATGTGGGAGTGAATCATGGAAAGCGATCGCATTCGATAGTTTGTCTTTGCATTGAAGGAAACTTCTTGCCGCACCTACCGTGCGCGCTCGCTCTCTCTCTCTCTTGCTGAACTTAATTTACCGTCGTCGGAAGATAGAGAAGTAGATACGTGTACTTTACTTACAGGAGGACAAGAAGCTACGGAAGGGGCCCGTGAATTTAGCTGGAAGAAAGGACTGGACTTGGGAAGAAGACAGCGCATGTGGAGTCGACGCCGAAAGGCGACTTCTAAATGGAGGAAAGGGCTCAGGCAGAAGCTTGAGGCTGACTGAAAGCTGGAGGGAGGACTGGAAATGGAAAGCGCGACGGAGGGCGCGATGTATTATTAGGAACGGAAAGCTGGACCAGCGCGGGCCAAAGTTTAGGTGAGACAAAGCGCGGTGTGGGCCATTGCTCAGGTTTAAGGAAGTACAGTAGTAAAGTCGAGACCGTGGCTGGCCAGACGAGCTTACTCCTCCGCGAGCCCCTCCCCCCCTCCCCCACTGTTCCCAACCCACCCGACCCACGTTGTGTGCAAAGCGGTCTCGAGGCCCGCGCCCGATATCGGGCGGTTTCATCCCGGAGTCCTGTTTTGTCCCGAGCGCTTCCGCCGGGACTCCTTCCAGAGGCCAAGGACTCCCCCCCACCCTGTCGGACGCCGGCGGATTACCCCCCGTCCATGGCGCACTAGGGAACGTTGCGGGGGCTAGCCGTGCATGGAAAATTTGTGTAGTGGGGGTGGGGTTGGGGTTGGGGGTAAGGGGGAAAGGAGGTGTTTGGGGCTAAAAGTCCGGGGCTGCAAGGGGCCACAGCGACGTCGCCATGGAATGATCGATCTGACTTTTTCTCGAGTGAGTGAGTGAGTGGGGCAGAGGGTGTCAAAAGGGCCATGGCAGCCCCCACCATACAACTTCAACAACTACTCCACTCTTAGACATATCTCTATGATTCCTTGGTGAAAGTTTGGCCGATGTTACGTTCCAAAGTGAGAGGCTAGGGGAGTCTGGACACCTTGCAACATGACAAAGTGACAAGGAAAAAGCGATCGGCGATGTCTACTGCGCGGCGTACCAACTGTGATGTCCCTTCCCGTTGCAGGTTGTTAACGTGTTTCATAAAGAGCAACCGTAGACTTCTTTCCTCATGTATCCCAATCATCCTCCCATCTTTCTCGCACGGGAGCCCACTTTTTATAGCAGATTCCATATACGCAGCAGTCGCATCTGATTTGAAAATCTTTGACCGCACACACCACCCACGTCCATATATTTCGAGCATACGCTTGTGAATCAATCAATCAATCAATCTTGCCACATGAAGTGGTGCTGATAGCTCTTCTCACATGAGGTGGCCAGCTTTTCCACAAGCGCCATTTGTTGTGCCTTCATGCGCATTCTCAGCCTTAGCCGCAATGCAATGCAAGCGAGTTTCGATCATCCCACCTCATTCAATGACGGGCTCCAGAGCGACCAGCCGCTTTGATTGCCCCCAGCTTTTGCCAGCATCTATTTCATATGCACCATGTTGTGCCTCTTGCGCTGTCATGTTTTGTATCGAACTCGTAAGCTCTACACATGTTTTGTAACAACCATAACTGTGAGATCGACTTTTGTTGATTGCAGACATGTTCGTATCCGAACTTTTCTCTTCCATAGTCCTTGAGGATAAGTCAAGTCCATTGCACTAATGATTGAATGGTCTTGAGATATCAGAATAATGAACAGCCTCCAATCATGGGCAAATTCCCTCTAAATGTACATTAGTCAATATTTCCATAAATAAATATGTCCCATTTAGCGTATGGATTGTTCATATGATTAGATAAGATCACAAAAACTAAGAGTATGTAGATTGATGTATTCACAGTTTAAGTTTATGCATGATAAATATAGAATATCTCTTATAATGCATAGACCACAAGTGATTTTTGTGTTCAACATTGTAGAAAATATTTGGATTGCCCTACAACAACATTTGAAGCTCATTTGCACCGTTCACATCCATATTAACATCAATATTTTTTCT